GAACGCTGTTATTTGTGAGTGTGTGTCTACAGCAACACAAAGAGTGCTGTAGTAGTGGTGTAACAAATGTGAGCCGTGCCAACAGACGTCCTGCTCAGCGTGTCCATATCACATTTTGCATGTGGTGCAAAACTTACACTGTGATCACCAGTAAAAGAGAGCGACATACGTGTTACTGTTTGTGTGGTCTCCTCTGTGCAATCAGCTTTAAGAGTACAGTAAGTTTTTGAAGATAGGCTACCAATTAGGTCAACACATGGTTTAGCCACAGCTACAATCAAGGTTGCAATAAATTATTCATTCTGTGCAGCCAATCAATAAATTCCCAGTTGCTGCCCAGAGAAGACAAATGCAAAATAAGTCCATGTCAGACACAAGTCTGAGCAAATGGAAAACTGATTTCAGCACTGAAACATGCTGCGTGGGATCTGTCTTATAAATCTGAATCATTTTATACGGTAATTGCTTTGTTTACCATTTTTCCCATTTGCCAACCATTTGTTCATGTTCACACGTGTCTCAACTATGCAAGACAGTAAGAACTGCAAGAGGTTACAACACTATAAACAGCAAAAAGGTTTTAACCTCAGGACAAACAAAATTTCAAGTTACTTCTACTTTTGTGTACAAACGAACTCTGTGATAACAAAGTCTGTGAAGATTCTCAGTCATCCAGGTTACGGTTATTCTCGTTCCTGGGGAAGATGAAAGGAAGATGAAACTACATTCATACCTAGCCACAAAAGACCCTAACGAACCCCACTGCACTAACGACTCACATAACGAGGGGGAGGAGCAACAAACCCCCAATTGAAACCTAAACTAATGTTAATGGCTCCTTTAGGATATAAGTATCTGGAACTCCCGACTCGTCAGTCTGAACTGATGAAGCCTCTTGGACGAGAGGTGAAAACGTTTTCAAGGAACTCCAGACGCTACGATTAATCTACGAGAACTGTGATGACAAACTTCACATTTTAAACCACACTGATTTTCAGACTTCAATTGCAACTTTTAGCTCCATTACCTGTGCTTGCAAGCAGTTTTTAATTTCAAAAACTGAGAGAAAAAACATCCAAATATGCCTGGGTAGCGTCACAGTGCGCGACGGTGCGGCTACCGGAAATCCTTCATCAGATAAGCAGCTGGCAGTGGTCATAGATGCCAGCCAATAGTGGGAATACAAAACTCCCTAAATGTGTCCCAGTTCAGGGGCTGCATCTGCTGAAGGACGAGGTTGACGAAGGCATGGCATGCTATACGAAAAAGGCAGACTTGTTTAATGAGACTGTCTGGTCTAACGAGGACTTCCTATTTGCATCACCAGCTGCTAGGAGCGCCACAGTTGTTAGCTTTCCGACTGAGCTGAATCCCAGTGCGTACATTTAAAAGCACACTCCCTGGCTGCTGCTTCCTTTGGAGAGTTTGCCATATTTTGGGGAAAAAAAATCCAATCACCACCATTGCACAATGAATCTTGGGACAAGTTGGGCCGCAAAGCATACACCTACAGGATCTGTAAAAGACGGTGGTTGCATTTGAAGTAGCCTTTAAAACCGGACACCTCTGTCGCAAGATGCGGCTCCTGAATTGAGACACAGCTCATGTCTGGGAAAATTCTGGATTCAGATGTGATGATATAAGTGAGCCAGCCAACATTGGCTCCAAGAAAGCGTTGGCCAAAGCAGGTAACACATCATTCAACTGCTGTCCAAGGTAGCCTGCAAGTACCTCTGCATCTGTGCTCCAAGTACAGTATCTAAGGGAACATTCAGCACAGCACATGAACACAGTTACCGCTCACCGTTCCCCCCACAACACACAAAGTAAACATGCTTGTCTCCTTGGTAAGAAAAAAAAACACAAAACAAAAGTATTGGAAAGGTATAAGGAAAAAATAGATAACGCCCAAGACGAATACCAAATATTAGAAATATAACATCAAGTCTGCCACTTATAGTGATGTTTTACCACTAGTATGACGATGCAGCAATGTTTTCATGAGTGGGTCCCTGTTTTGTTTGTGTTGCTCACCTGCATGGAGATGCACGTGCATGCACAAGCACACCAGTGATGCAACACACATTCCTGCCGCTTATTTATTGGTATTCCACTGAAGAACAGCTGGTGCAGGTAAGACCCAAACAAACATAGCAATACACCAGCAAAAAAAAGAAAAAAAAAAGAGAGGCAGGAAGCAGAATAGGTGCTAGAAAACAACCTTGCTGGATTGAAACTATTCCAAAAACAACTGGCTTTGCAAATGCTTTGTAATGAAGGAAATGTGACCGACGTGTATGTTCGAACTCAAATATGCAAACTCCAAGGGGGCACCTGTACGTTCAGAGCACAGATAATCAAAGTGCAGCGGAAGCTTGATAAGAAAGACGCAGAAAGAATGAGTTACACAGTTGCTATCTGTTTAGGTTATGGCTGCAATTAGCACTGGTCTGAGGTCAGACACTCGAAGCACTGTGACGGCATTGAGACAAGTCTGGAGCTGCACAACAGCGCAACAAACGGGAAGCATATATTTGAGTTTCTGGAAGTGAAGATGTACAGACAATAGCAACCCCATCCCAGATGTTTTTAATGTCTACTATGTCTTTACTCCCTACAAGCCATGATGTTAAAGCACTCATACTGACATCAGCAATCTGGGAAGAAGTGAAAGTTAAATTATTATATCAAGTACTAAAAAAAAACTTTTTCAACCCGAATATGATGATAACATTATTTTAATAAACAGTCACTGACCCAACTATTTAGACAATAAGCTGCCACTTTACTTTCATGAAAGTCATCATATTCAGTTTCGTAACTTCTTGCTCATTTCAGATGCTGCAGTTGATGTTAAATTGTGTTTCTATTATTTTGCCCACCCTGTCGACATCTAAGAGGACAGGCTACCCAACAGAAATGCCTCCAAAACCACTCACAAACTACTGGCCTCCACTGGATTAAACTGTGAGCAGTCAGACTCACCGGATGCAGGCTGCAGGTTTAACCCTGTTATTGGCCGCACGTTTCACAATCCGCTTCCCGGGAAAAAACAGCAACAACCTCCAGGCGAGTGACCTGCAGTACTGAAAATTTCCAGTTAGCTCCTCGCCTCCCTGCTTGCAAATTTACCACCACAACAATGAACCCGTCCCTACCCCGAGGGAACACTAGATCCTTCGCTTTGCTCCATCCGAGCGATGTGATCGGTTAACAGGAATACAAACAAGCCAAAGAAATAGCAGAACTGTAATGAGCTATTTAGGGATATTTTGAGGAAAGTGTGTTGCTGCATTTTTAGCTCCGCCAAAGATGAAGAAAATGAAATAGTGTTTAAAGAAATAAAAAAGAAGCCAGAGCATTTTTCCCCAGTCAGACCATTCTGTGCTGTAGAACGGTGTGGCAAAGCAAGACTACAAATACAGCAACAGTGTTCATCTGCAGTCGTCCTCAAATGTATTCATACCCTCCCACTAAAGAAGGAAAAAAACAGTGAAATAAGTTGAAATTGACAAAAGTAATAATAAATAAAAATTTAATGAAAATCATGACTTTGCTTTTGATTTGAGGTTCAACAGAAATATTTATAAAAAGAACAAAGAAAAAAAAACACAAGCAAACAATCATAATGGGACCCATACACTGATATTTAGTTGAACAACCCTTTAAGTCAATCACTGCAATCAAGTGTTTTTTGTAACTCTCAGTCAGACTTCTGCACCTGTTGACAGGTATTTGGATTTCACTGCTCATCAGCAAAGTGCTTTGTCCAGGACAGTTATTATTATTCTTTTCTACCACAATTCAAAAGCAATGCTCATTTCACTAAATTATAATTTAGCAAATTTTTATTTATTACTACTTTTATCAGTTTCTAGTTATTTGAGTGACTATAGTGAATTTTGCCTTTTCCTTAATGGAAGGGTTTGAATACATTTGAGGACATCTGTAGCTACACATCAGTCATCCACAACACTGAACTGGTTTGAGTGAATAACACTGATCAGCTTGTTATGGTGCAATTTTCACGTGAAGCTTGCACACAGACACCAGAAAAACTAAACACAAACTGCTTAAGGAACACGATTAACTGCCAGAGATGGTGATCCAACCCTCCAAAATCCACAGCTCATCCACAGGATGCCGGATCAATGGAAGGCCCCACCTGGCAGGACCGAAAGCAACCAGCGCTCATGTCCTGGTGCTGCACGCCACAGGAGGACACAGGTGGCAGGTCAGAGCTGTTTTCGTGGACACCGATACACCACAAAAGGCGGTTCGTCTCTTCTCCTCGTCTCTTCTCACTTTGCATTGTAAATAAGAGCTGCTTATCCCACTCGTGTGTCAAGTGAGCTGTTTATTTGCCCAAGTCGCCCTTGTGTCTCTGCACGACAGGCAGCATTCCTGCCCTTCTGCAAGACTGCAAGATTCTGATCTGGCTTTGATTAATCTGAGCAGTGTTTCTCTTTTCATTTCCATTTGGAACTGATTCATCTTTTTCTTTTTTTTTTCACTTTAAAGCAGCAACATCACAGACAAGCAGGTGAAAGGTCACCATTCTCCAGGGATGCCTGGGGGACCCTCCTATCTAAACAGTGACCTCACCTGTCAGGCTAAAACAAACTAACAACACCTTTTCAAAGTGAATGAGAATGCATTAGCAGCACTGAGGGGGGAAAAACAACTTAGTTTAGCTTAGTTTTGGCAATAAACACAAGCAGTTTTGGCAGTTTTTACACACAGCAACGCAACTAAAAGCACTTATTTCTCTTTTTCACGCTCCCAAAACCGAACTAACCAACACACGTCACCCATATTCGCCTCTAGAAGTGAATAAACACGAGCAGCTTCCCTGTTAAAGCGGTTTTGGGGTGACTTCAGGCTTTTGGGAGACACAGCGAGCAACTTGACAAACCGCCTCCTCGACCAAAACACACGCCGAAAGTTTGTCTAAACTCGTGTTGCGGTGTCAGTTTGAGGGTCCCGTGGCGCAAACTCACCGGCCAGTGTTGTCAAAGCCGCTCAGCATCCACAGAACGACCGCATGAGGATTATGTGAACACGTTCTGCTCCGGTTCTCGTGGACTGAGTTCCTCCGCAGACCGTTGATGCAGCAGCAGCAGCAGCAGCAGCAGCTCGTGCCGCGGTGTTGGGAACCCGCTCAGTCTGCCGCGGTGCGTTCAGGCGCCGCTCGGGAAATCTCAGCTTCCACTGCACAATCAAGATTAAAGGCGACTTTCGGTTTGTCAAATAGGCCTGAGCAGCAGCCTGTGGGTGGCTGTAGTTGTTTTAGTACTTAAATACTAACCTTTCCAGCTGTAAGTGCAAGAAAAATGTAGTTTAGCTACTGTCCGCTATTTTAGCTATTTTTTATTATTTAATCACTATGGTCACTTTTTTTGTTTTATTAAGTTTAGGCGGACTTGCACGTTTTTTGTTCTTTTTTTTTGAGTTTGTTTCTTGTTTTAGTACTTGTAATGGTGTTTTATTTTTATTTTTTATTTTTCTTTATTTTTTTTATTTTTTGGTTGCCTTATTCAATGCAGAGTTGGCTATTCACTTCCTGTCTGGTGTTTTGCAGTTTTTCTTTGTAGTCCTGTCTCTATGTGGTAAAAACTTGGTTTTGTAAAATCTGTAAATCATCTGATGTACAATTTTATTATATTTTGATGATAAAAAGAAACAAAACTAGTCCTTAAATAGTATTAAAATCCATTCACTAGTAGGAGAAAATCTAAAAAAAAGTGGTTTTGGTGTAATATTGAAACAGTATAAAACCAATGCCTTTGGTTTTTCATAAGAAGAAGAGTCATGTGGAGGTTTATCCATTAGTCTGAGCAAAAAAATAGCAAGAGCTTGTGAAAATGTAATAGAATAGAGGATAAGAAGCCACCCACAGACATCAAAGATTTTCAAAACTCTAGACTTCTGACAAATTATGTACCCTGTCATCAGTGAATTCCAGTGCTCTATCTAATGTTTATTTCAAGTACACTGAAGTGTGAATGCCTCATTTACATTGTAGCCTGGTAAGAAAATACAAGATTTTAGCGCACAAATGAGAAACCTGGTTAACAATAATGGTGAAAATATTAAAAGGCAAACTTTACAAATTAAAAGAAATATTAATGAATGTGTTTAAGATATAAAAACAAATATAACAAAAGAAACTAAAAAGGGAGAGAGTTAATTTTAATATTGTCTTGCATGTTATTTCAGGTTGCAGGTGCACAATGAGTTAAACTGGATTTTTGAAGCTCTGTATGGAAACAAGAGGCAGCTGCAGCCTAATCCACTAATTTGAGGATGTGTGGTCGAATGACCCTTCGTCACTTTTAAGATTTTACACAATGGATAATATAATAGCCTTTTAAAATGCAACACACTGTGACGGATTAAACTCGTGGGCTTTAAACTTTCAGCTTTCTGACAAAAAACAGTATGTAGTCGGGGTCACATTTCAGATGACTGTGAGTTGTTAACAGCTCCACCAAACAGAGACTTTTTTCCCGTTTAAATTTCTCACATGGTTTCATTTCAGTAAATGTTTAAATCATCCAAAGTCTCGCTAAGAAAAGAAAATCAAAACTAACAGGAACAGTTAGAAAATTGAAGACAGATTTATGTAGCAGAACTTTGTTTTCTCTTTTTTTTCCATTAATCATTGCACAAACGTTCAGATTTTACTGGTGTCTCTCTGTATATGTAACTGTGTTGACAGTAGTTCAAACTGGATCCAGCAGTTATAAGAGCAACATGCTGCGTCTTAGCTCCCCCATGTTCACTTTATCTCTGGTGTTTGTTAGCAATTTGATGGAATGTTTTGGGAAATTTGCATCACTAAAATGCAACACCAGCAAACATGGGCTCTGCATCCGTCTTGTGTCTTGTGATATGAATGAGAATTCAGAGGTGACAAGGTCAGTACAAGGGACACACAAGCTACCAACAGGCGGGTCACTCCAGATAAAGTCAACCAAATCTGTGTAAAGTTCCCTCCTGATCCCTTCACAATCACCTGTTTTAAAGATGTACAATAACTTCAGTATATTTAATGAAGCCATGCACATTTAACCCTCATGCTATGAATATTTTCTGAGTTACAGGCCTTTCAAGTGCATAACAGTGTGTTTAAATTTTGCGTTACTTTTTCCAGCATTTTTGAGGTCGACGGTACACACTGACAAAACAAGAACAGAACACTATCAGCGTAGAATTTGAACTGTCAAACAAACACTGAAACCTTGTTTGATCGATGTAATTTGTCCAAGTCTTAATATGAAACACGTGAACATCAGTTGCTGCTTCTCCATTTCAAAAGCCACAAGTTACATGAACGATTGTTAAAATGTGACTGTATTAGAAAAGCGTTTTGACACAGAACAAATCATGGCTAGAAGATGAGCCTGGTATCAAAATGTAGATAAAAGTGAAACCTTTATTTGTCATAACTCGTGTTGACCAATGACCTATCTTACAAGGTGACATGACTCCTTAAAGTTTACCCAGAATGCACTTTTTCCTCTTGTGAATGATCAGAAAACAGATGACACTATTACACTCTGTCAAATAAATCAAATAGGTGTAGTTTTGGTATTGAATGTACGATACATACATGACTTTAATGGTCAAAGTTGGTTATGGAAAACTACATTTTGGCTCTAGATCGTTAAATCTTGAGTGGATGGAAAATGTGTTTGGTTGCAGCTTTTAACAGAGCTCAAATGTGGTTTTTATCCCTGACAATTTCATGTGGTTATCTCCTGTATTTATGAAGTTAGGAGGGCTGAGAAATGCTGGGAAAAGTCACATGAACTAAAAAAGCAGGGGCTTGTAAGACAGACAATATTCACAGCTAAGTATTGTGACATTTTTGCATGGATCCATTAAACATGCTAAAGTTTTTGTACAAGAAACACGAGCTGATTCTGCGGGGGTCAGGTGGGAGGCATTGATTGACTTTTTTTAAACAGTGACCCAGGCATCACATTATTTTTGAAGTCACAGTTGGTGTTTAGTGTTGCGTGGTAAATGCGACATACATGGATGTAATCATCATTAGTTAAGCCTAACTGCAATATATCCAACAGCACCTGAAGGCAGCACCGCCTTTTTCTCTCAGTAGCCACAAGAGCTGTGGACAGGAGGACAATAACTGCAGCTCAGTAGTACTGTGTGTGTGTGTGTGTGTGTGTGTGTCACTACATTGGAATGTCTGGCAACAATTTCTCACCGTGTCCAGTCGTTCCCTTTATGCAGCATGTCCTATACATTGCAGCCTCCAGCGTCGGATGATTCACAGCAGCTCACTACAGACTTCAGAGTTAATGTTTGCAGTGATATAGACTTTCTGCCTATTTGGTTTTTACTCAAGAGGGAGCATAGAAATCATTCTGAATCCAGCGTGGGCTGCCCTCCGCTGAGACCCTTTTTTAGTCATCCTCAATCGTTGTCACACTTGGATGGGTTCTGGCCCATATAATCTGGAGCCAGATGTGTCTCACCTCAGACAGATCAGCCAGATTTCTCTCTGGAGTGGGTTTAATAGGCAGATGATTAGTAATGGGATAAGTCTTGTACCGTGCTCATTTCATTGACAAATTGATGCAGGGAGTTATGTCACTGCTCTCTTAATTGCTTCAATTTATTCTTATTATTGTGAAAGTAGAATAAAAAAAAGAAAAAAAACTAGGTTGCCAAGGTGAAGTTGTTCCTCCCGCGAGACAGCAAAAGCACGTGCCTGAGAGAAAAACCCTTTTCCACTTCACTGCCTATAACTGCATTTATTTCAACTTGGAAAATGAGGGATTATTTTCCAATTCCCTCCAGCTCCACTGATGGGAAGTCTTATGCCATCCGACAGGAATGTGCAACCCTTCCATTCCTCCAAGTCTCCTCCACCCAGGAGCGTGCAAACCTTTTGGGAATCCCCCCCGCTCCTTTTTCCAGTATTATTTAGCACATTTACATATCAGCAGGACGTGCTCGCAGAGAATTACTCACACAGACTTTGTCACACCTCCTCCCTCCTTATCAGCCCTCATGAATGTGACATTTTAAACGATGCCGCTGGAATTAAATAACATGCATTTAATGTTGCGGCATGTCATCATTTTTTTCCCCCCCATTTCTTTAAATCCCATTTAAATATATGCTCTGCAAAGTTACATTCAGAGATGCACTGATTGTACAAAATGCAGCCCATTTGAACAAGAGGATCTCCATCTGCCTATTTGTATGTAAAGAGTGCATTTAATCACGTTAAAAAAAGAAGCAGATAAGGAAGAGACACGCATCGACTATAAATTTGGGACTCGCCCTGCTTTCCATCTTTCTATAAGTTTCAGATATCTCCACGCTGGCAGAAATTATTAGAAGATAACACATAGTTTTGCAACCTGATGAAATCTTGTGTTCGGCGTGCGCACACACACACACACACACACACACTGAGAGATACAGGCTTATCTGAAGGCTACAGATTGCATGTGTGCAAGTGAATGAGAGAGTTCAAATGTGGCGATAACACAAACGTTTTTTTAGACCCACACACCACTGATGTGAAATATCTGAGAGTAGAACTTGTCTTTCCTCTTCTGGAGTAAGTCACTTAATAATAAACAGCAAAATGATCAACTAATTACTTTCTTCCCCTTTTTAAAAAACCTCTACAGAGCTTTGTTTTGATATTATTTGGTTGCTGTCTAAAGAAATCACAGGAAATTTGAATGCCAGTTTTACAATTTTCACCACATCAATTTTTTTTAAGCCTGCGTGGAAAAAGTTCTTCCATTTCTCTCACATTAACCTGAGATCATGTGCATAAAGTTCCTCCCTGATCCGCTGATAAGAAGAAAAAATGGCAGTGAGTAAACAAGCGTTGGAAGAAAGGACAGCAATAAAACACAGAGAAATATGAGGTTTCAGCGCAGACAGTGGGAGTCGAACACACGAGGAAGTGGTTGTAACAGAAACATATGAACTTGTGGTGATTTTAAAAGACAGCTTCTGTATCTGTTGGTTGAAAATTTGAATCTGCAGGACCAGGCGTTTACCTCCTCCGATGGATAACAATGACTTCTGTTGCAACACTGTTTGACCTGTGACCCAGAAGAGACCATGAAGCTGCAGCATTTTTTTTTTTATTTGCTCTATAAGATTCACTGTGTCAACAAACCATTACGAAACAAGGTAAATCATCTTGGCTGCTAAGTTCATGACTGTAGCTGTTGACACCACTGATGAGATAAAGATGCGTTCATGTGCAGGTCCTTATTTTTGTGCATCCTGCCCTCTGCTGTCAGAAAAAGTTTACTACATATGAATGTAAAACTGGTTTCATAATAAAAAAAAATACAGAGAAGTGCTATTACTAGACGTGCAAATACAACTGATACAGCAAACCAAACATGTATAGATAAAAGTGCTAAAACAATAGTGGCGGTCTTAATTCCACCTCGAGTTCTTCCACCCTGCACCACTGCTCTACCTTCAGCTTTTTCACAGTAATTCTCCATCTGTATGCCCTCTGTGGAAGGTACAAGCCTTTTTTTTTTTTGCAAGATATGAGTTACACGGCAGCACAATGCAACGCCATCCTTCTGCATCCGCACACAAAGCCTCGCAAATGTGTGCCGTTTACAAATGAAGCAGGGAAATACACAAAGGCACAGCGTGGCCACACAAACACACAATGCCTACAGCCCACTGAGCCAGGCGTTATTCTAAGCAGCAGCGCCGACAGCTACCTGACTCAGTGGTTTGTTAAGGAACAAAAAAAAAAGAAAGGTTACAACCTGGTTGGTACCATTGTCACCTTTTGAGTCACTGGTGAAGCTCCGGTGACGCCATGAGCGTTGAAAAGTACAGACAACTGGATGGTTTTCAGTCACGTTTAAATGCTTTTTATCAAAATGATTTGTGAGAGAAAACAAGACAACAGAAAGATAGCAAGAGACACAAATGTTGTAAATCAAGACCCCAGACAGCAAGAGTTATAAATTCATAAAGAATTTATTATTAAATTCTAATATACTAAATATAACCCATCACTATGCAGAAATAAATAGATCTTAATATATCGTGTTGATGTAATACCTTACAGAAATAGTTAAATAAAAAGTATTAAAGCATAGTATAAAAACCCTAAAACAGCTTGAGCAGGTTTATAAGGCTTATGGGTCCTGAGACTGTTTACCTACAGTAACCATTTGATGGAAATACAACACGTTGTGCGTCTACCACCGGCGTTCAAGTCGACTAAACTAATATTCTGAGAGAAAAAAAAAAGAATTAAAGGTCAATGTGAAAGCAAATCAAACTAAAGAAACAGAAAATGAGCTCAAGTGACATCCGACTGTACTTGGAACAATGATGAATAAATGTCACAGCGCCCTTAATGATACTCGGATCACAAGTGGTGAAGTAATTTCAATATATTTCACACTTGATTGATGCGGTTGCTCCACATCACTTTAACAGTAATTACACCCCAGTGCTTGTTGTACATTTTAATCATTTAATTGCGTTCTGCTCTTTTAAACCCACGGATGGGATCAATATTTTCGGGGCCGATTTATTTATTTATTTTTTAATCAGTAACCAAAACTGGCGATAAAATATGATCTCTGATTAACTTAACTGGCTCTTTCTTGCAGTGTGCTTGCGCACAGATGAGATGAATTTCAAACCACAGCAAATTACACAGTGATAAATTCAAATAAACTCCCAGGTTAGTCTAAGAAAACATTTTCTCCAGCATAAAAATAGGTGCGATGCTTAATTAAGCTTCAACGAATCACACCGCTCTCTGCCCTAAAGGACCAATATATCTCAGTTTGACTTCTTAGAGAAGATAATTAAGGAAACAAACAATGATCATTGTCTGGAAGGACGCGTCACTTTAAATTAAAGCAATAATGTGCAAACTCAGTGAACTGAGTAAAAGGATGAACTCGAGTAAGAATCGGTTGTGATCAGACAGCTGTGCAGTTCTCAACAGGTGGAACGAGGACAAAAACAGTTTATGAGAAATGGAAAAGAAGAAACTTTGGGATGTGAAGTCGCAGACTATCCATCCATCCATTCATTATCTATCCACCGCTTAATCCTCACCAGGGTCTCGGGGGGCTGGAGTCTATCCCAGCTGACTCAGGGTGGGGACACCCTGGACAGGTCACCAGTCTATCACAGGGCTACACTTAGAGACAGACAACCAAGCACACTCACATTCACACCTACGGACAATTTAGAATCACCAATTAACCTCAGCATGTTTTTGGACTGTGTGGGAGGAAGCCGGAGAACCCGGAGAGAACCCACGCTGCACGGGGAGAACATTCAAACTCCACGCAGAAAGATCTCGGGTGTCCTCACCAGGACGCGAACCGGCGACCTTCTTGGTGTGAGGTAACGGTGCTAACCACTGCCCCACCTTGCAGCCCAGTCGCAGACTAGCAGCACTAATTTCTTTCATTTTCAAGCTGTATTGCACCCAATTAAACTGTGTCAAACAGAACACTGCAGTTGCACTTTGATTTCATCAGTAATTGCAGCGGGAGGCTCTTCGCTAAACGCTGAAAACACAGTATGATTTATACGAGATACAGACACACGGAACACACAGAAGCCTGTAGTGGAAATCAAAGGCGTCCCACAAATAAGAACAGATCAAACTGTGGACAAGGAAGTGTGAAAGGAAAAAGACAATACTGCTTTCAGCACAACATCCAACATGCTTTGAACTACTTCAATGCCATATGTTTTAAGACTATTTTAAGTCTCTCTGGTTTAACTTGTCCACACAGACTAAAAATCAAAAACACCCATTTCACCACTCAGACACACCAAGACTCATCCGCTTATTGATAATCACAATTTGGCGACAGACATCCTCAACTTGGCACAAGAATCACAGGCGACAGCTATGAATCACAGAGGATGTCACGAAAACAACGACACTCGAGGGTCAAACCTCAACTTTGCTGACCAACTCTGTTTTTGCTACTATTCATGTGACGGCCATTATATTATTACAGTGACAAACCAGCAGCGTGTTGTGCAGCTTCGCCTCTCATCATTCTGCTTCAGGTCCTTGAATTAATTGAGGAAGTTATTATCACACAGGGCTTGAAGCCATCCTTGTGCGCAGCTGTTTCTCAGCTGATTCGTTGGATTATAGTGGCAGCTTATTGACACTCTCTACCCTCTCACAGAGACAAAGTGCAAATAACATCCCACTCCGAGCATCACAGGGAAGATATCTTTAGACTGTTGAGAACACTAATTTGACGCTTTTGTTCTAAGACGCCATTAAGTGCTAGTAGAAACGAGAGCGCTGACTCCTGTGCTGATGAAGAAATCAGTATGGTGGGATACAGGTCGTAGGTATATCATTAAGTATACGATTAGCACCCGACTTCATATTCTTGTGCGTTTGAACAGAAGAGCTGCACAGTACAAATTGCTGGATACTGAGCAGCTACACCAAGGGAAGCTGGAGGTTAAAGTTCCCACTTAAGGCACTTCAAAGATATTGTAAAGAAAAAGGATTGCGAGGTAAGATGGCTGGGTTGGATTAAGGTGTTTGGGTTTTTATAAATGGGTGAGAAATCCCTGAGAGAATCACACAGCATGACCCTGTTGGGTTTTTTTCAGTATCCAATTTAGGGATTTTAGTTTCAGCTTTCATATTGTTTTTGGTGACTCAAATATTCCAAAGTCTTGCCTCATAGGTCAGGCTTACTCATTAGATATTGCAGAGTAAAACCCCCAGTAAAATAAAATATGCACTTTTTAAAAGTACACTATGATTTCTAAGATATGTATTGAATAGTCTTAATGCTGTAAAGCCCCCATCTTTGGCTATTTCATTCAAATTAAAGCAAAAGTAAAATGGGAAATCCTTCATCGGATTGTTTCTGATTCACATTTCATTCCTATTTATGCTGCATACATTTTGTAAATAGGAAGTCTGTGTAGTTAGCGAACCACACGGGCTCCATAGAGCAGGATGTGGTTTTGGGCAGCAGTCTCTTCTTGCTCTTATTTCTCTACAAGATGTGCTCATTTATATAAAAAAGAACATAAAAGGCATACGGTAAATCACACAGGTTGACTCGTATGAATCAACATGCATAGAGGTACAGAATTCAGTTTTGAATTTCAAACTACTACAAGCGCAAACTGACCCCTAATAGATTTCTGCTGTTAACTCTCCAAAGAGCTTCAACCTCCTCACAGGTTTGCATGTAAATAACAAGTAAAATACGGAGTAAATCAAGAACATAATATGGTGGGAAAAAGAAAGAAAAGATACTAAATAGTGAAACTACAGCACTATACGCTCCTCCTGCTGCTCAGCTCTTGCGAGATGTGCTGCACCACTTCCTAAGCGCTATCCCGCTGGTGCTGGCCACGATGCACAGCGCCCCCCCGAGGCTCCACAGGGTCGGCGTCTGGTTAAAGAAAATGAACTGGAAGAGGAACGCCAGCAACACGTCCACTGTCCTCATCAGGGCCACGGGCCCGGCCTTCTCGATCTGCAGGGCCTTCGTGAGGAAGGTCTGGCCGGCGATACCCAGGACGGCGATCAGCATCATTATCCAGCGATCGCGGCCGCAGGTTGGGATTTTCCATTCCCCAAGGACGGATACGGTGATGATGCACTCGATGAAACCGATGACGGCGTAGTACCAGACAGAGAGGTAGTAGTGGACGCTCTTTCCCATCTTGCGAAGAACAACAAATGTGCAGGCAGCAGCAAGTGCTCCTGTGAATAAATCAAATAACAGGACACAGAATGAACATGTTGATCTGTCGGTTCTGGAGAATGAATAAATCTATGGGAGCGTTGTTGTAGCAAAACTGTTTGTAAATGTGTACGGAGGGTTGTGTGTCTGTATCTCCATCTGTGTGTCAGCAGTCAGATTTGTGAAGCGTAAAAAGATTTGTAAATGTGGACAAAGATATTCAAAGATGAAAGTATTTGGCTACAAGTGCTGGAAATACAGACAAATCACCAGTTACAAGTCAAGCAGGCCTCACAATTATCTGTCTTTTTAAACATGACTTTTACTGCACTTCTGTTGTGAGAGATTCAGAGCTGTAACTTCAGGGTTTCTTTGCCCAACTGAGGTGAAGAGCAGCAGAGCGGTACGCAGCAAGAATGAACGAGCCTGTGAGCCTGAGCTCAGGGCAAAGAAACCCTGAAGTCACAGATCTGAATCTCTCAGAAGTGCCGCAAAAGTCATGTTTAAAAAGACAGACAATTGTGAGGCCTGCTTGACTTGTAGCTGGTGATTTGCCTGTATTTCCAGCCCTTGTAGCCAAATATTTTCATCTTTGAATATCTTTGCACACATTTAAAAATCTTTTTACGCACTGACAAATCTGACTGTGGACACACAGATTGAGATACGGACACACAACTCTCCATACACATTATTAAATAGTTCTGCTAGAATAATGCCCCCATATAAATCCATTAGAAAAAACAGACAGATGTTTGCCATTATTGAATTCCTTATGCAGTTAATTAAGTTCCTTCATGTGACCTTTGTGAAAGCTTGTATGTATACGACTACTGATTCCCATAACTTTAGAAACAAATGGCATACCTTCTCATTCCTACTGTGACATCCTCTACCTTGCCTCAGATTTGTACTCAAGGACTCCAGTCTTTTAACCCTATTCAGGACTTTCATGTTGCCATACGTAGATGGTCTTTCGGGGTCCACTGGACCCCAAGAAAGAATATGAGCAAAGAATTTGTTGGTATTCGTTATAGACTTTTATACTATGTTAAATAAATGTTCTGATAAGTTGATGTATTTTCAGTTCCAAATGCATGACAAAGTTCCTCTTTTTATATTTAAGCAAACTCTTCAAAAATAAAAACACAATACCTGTCACCTAAACCAAATGGCCCGGGGTCCAAAAGACCCCAAAAGTCCCGAATAGGGTTAAAGACCCCATACAGCGAAAATTTGTTTCATAGTTGTTATAAGCTTCGAGGTGTAAAGTCAAAGTTGTTAAGATATGAGGATGGTTACTTCTGCCATTCCTCAAACTCCCCTCACCCAAAAGTAACCTCTCAGTTGTCTATTGATGCAACACCTAGTTAACCAATAGTCATCCAGCTCAGACTGCGATTGACAGCTCTTTTTTTTTAAGGGGGCGGGAACAATCGCAGCTCATTGGTTTCAAGAGCAAAACAGTCCATTTATAACAGCCGTAAAACCAGGAGTTATATGGTCACGGTGCAGTGAAGCATCCTTGCTGGATTTCGAGCTGAAAATCTCAGAGAAACACTGCGTGAGACTTGGATTCATTTGTTGTAAAGGGGCACCATATGGGACCTTTAAGGATGTGCGCCACATAAAACTTCCTCCATTCTTCTCTACAAGAAAACGAGCAACACTGCGACTCCCCCATCGCGTCAATGCCAGAATGACACCGTCATTGTTTCTCGCAAACACAGAGGAATCAGGGGAACGTACGCTGCCATGGCCGCTGAAGTGAGCACAAATACAAACTCCACTGAAAGTAATGAACTCTCTCTGCACAGCGCTGCTCCCGCGCATTTAGTGCGAGTGCTGGATTATTCACAAATGAGAGTTGGAAGGGAAAGAAAACTCGGAATTAATTGTTCCGTAGTCATTTGGGACGCACTTTGCGACGCTTGGGTGGCACAAAAGAAAAAGCAATTAGAACTTCAGAGCCGGCATTCAATTTCTAACTGGGTGATTCCACTATAATATTTAGCAAATTGTTTGCAAGTGAGAAACCAGCGAGGGATCAAGACTCTGTCGCTAAACTAGCACTTTCTGCTAAGTGGAAAAAATCAAGCTGCATATCCCGGCAGCTGGATCTTTTAGTTTCTGATCAGTCATTGTTTTAGAAAGTGTGCTCTGCTTGTAAATCTTGTAAATTTGAGCGCCATGACAGGGAGGGGACTGCCCCAGAGGAAAAGCATGATTAATTAGAAAGTGTGCATCTCCCAGCTGGCAATTCTGCGCCACAGGGGCCGTGCTGCATTCGGTTCCGCTGGTTGCTATGGTATTTCTGACAGCAACTGTGAGCAAAATTCTTAACATCATCATTCTTCTACCTGAACGATTACAATCAAGCAAATCAGCAGCACCTCCGAAGGCGGCAATAGTTCCCTTGATGTGGTTGGTGTAGTTGCTCTCGATGCCGCGGACACGTTCGCCGAACAGGAATGGTGGCCGGGCAATGAGGATGACTCCGGTCAGGGTGAAAACAGTGAAGGCGCAGTCCCAGATTGTACATTTCTCCTTCAGGAAGACCCAAGCCAGGAGGGAGGTAAAGACTGGATTACTGAGGGGTCAACGAAAGAAAAAAAAATCAATAACGATGGAAGGAGGGTGAGAAATTATTGTCTCAGGAGGTTTGTCTGGTATGAAGAATGCAGCTCTATTTGATCCACTCTCACAGATATTTAATGAATGATTGACAAAGACTATGGGAGAGACGGAGCGAGATAAGCGAGCTGAATAAGGAAAATGTCAGAAAGTGAGATAAAGAAAAAGAACAAGAAAGAGACGAACAGAAAAGGGACAATTATACAGTTCAAAGAGGATGGAATTTATCTGCGGTGTTCCTGTAATCTCGACTAATCCACAGTCAATTAAGCTCTCACCTGAACATGATGACAGTAGCATCTGCCAGCGGCATCTGCTGAACTGCATAGAAGAGCAGGATCATGGCGTTGGAACCGATGAAACCCCGGAGCACCAGAAATACACGTTTATCTCGGGGACCCAGGAAACCTGTCCTGGAGGAGCAGAGATATGAGGATGATGGATGAATGGATGACTGAATGGATGGATGGATGGATGGATGGATGACTGACTAGACTGCCTGATAGAGGAAGTAACAAACAAGAAATTTGAAGAAAGGGATGGATGGAGAGAATTTGAGTGGGATAGAGGGCTGAGGGATGACAAATGAGTGGAGGGCTTGAAGAAAGGGATAGATTTAGGTAACGTGGGGGTGACAGTGAGGAATGGGTGCCTGGATGGAGCTGGAAATAGGGAACGGAGGCAGATTTGTGGGTGATGAATTAATGCGAAAATAAAGAGGAATGTGGAGGGTGAGCAGATGGAGGGATGAGTAGGTAGATGAATGAATAGGAGCACTGGTGGTAATCTTTGGGAATACAGTTTAAATTCAGTTATCTGTCAACGCGATTCCATAATAAGTGAATCATAACAAGCTGGTGGAATAAATGTGTAGAGAGGAAAAAATGTGATTTAAAGGATCAATGACGGCTTTTTTTTATTCCCTTTAATAAATTTTGTCTGTTATTAAGATTGTTTGTGTTTATTTGTTTACCCAAAGGCACTTTCTGTGTATTGTTTAGGCTTTAATCAATACGTTTTGGGGGGTTTTTGTATTGCGGATATCGATGATTAATAATAAAGGACGCCGTCAGACTGGCAACCAAAAACCAGAAACGATACACATTTACAATAAAAATTAAATTTAGAATAACAGCAACACAAAACTTTGTTGACGTGTCCTTGTGTTTTTGTTTCACACACTGCTTAATCTAAATAACTAAATGAATAAATAAAATCAACATTTATCCTTGAGTGTTGTTTGGTTACTACTTGTGATGTGAAACCAATCAGAAAGTGCAGCCACAAAGTTTCTCTTCTTTTTTCTTTTTCCTTTTTTTTTCCTTAAAAAAATTCATTTATTTTACTGGGAATCAGCTTTTAATTAAAAATAAAAGCATTAATGATAATGCAAAACATGCTGGACATCCCATAATAACTCAGGTTAATATTCAGCCTATAATCATGACAACAAAGTTAACTTTATTTTTAAAAGATTCTGCCTCTATTGGAAAGGAATGGTCAGGAAAATACCAAAAAAAAGCCTTAAAACTGTTAACTTCATTTTGTTTCCCTTTATTGTTGCCTCACCTTAAATGCTCCCTTGTACACTTAATTAAACTAATCTGTGGTTGCATCTTTTTGCAACCTGTTGGACTTGTTTAATGGCATCCATGTTCTGTTTATCTACTCAACTTGGAGTAAAAACAAGGTACCAGCGTCAGATTAACAGTCTCGGACCAACAAAGCTGATTCTGATGTAAAACCTGCTTATTACCAACTTATTACATGTGACTTTGTTGCCCTAAGGAACCAATAAACAGACGTGATGTTCATTTAAGGATGTTTGTGCAGTTAGGTGATCGTGTTACAATTAAAAAAACAATAATAAAAAATACATTGTTTATTTAATAGCACAGTTTGGCACTTGAGACTCTGTATGTGTATTAAAGCCACATATTAACTTCATGTGGGAAGGTGTAATTTAAAACCTTTCCACCACTAAATTCACATTGTACATATTTTCATCAATAGTCCTGAGATGACTCACACGTATCCCTCCCAATATTTTGACAACTTAATGACTGAGCAGTGACTCCAAGCTATTTGGCTATAAATAGTGTGAAAACAAGTCGAGACAAAAGCAGGACTCCCCAAACATAAATTACTGAAAGGTGCTGCCTCGCTGAGTTTATGTCCTTGATCTAATAATCTAACGACAATAAAAAATAGCTGCTTTGAAAACACAAAAAAGATTAGTTGGATGTGTAATAAAAGCCCTCATTATGTCCCTCAGCCCTTGTGAGAATCCTGAATTATTGTTATCTGTTATTAAAGGCGTGCTTACTTGTGGTAGATGAGTAACGGCACAACAAAGAGCATCTGGAAGAAGCAGCGGATTGCGCTGATCTCTATGGCGTGGATTCCCTGGATGGTTTTCACCAGGAGGGCGATGGTGGAGAAGAAAACTGTGGCCAGGAAAGCGTAGAACAACCCGAGACCTGAGCATTTCTTTGGTGTCTCTGAATCTGTGAGAAAAAAAAAAAAAAGAGAGTCAAAGAGCAGGGAGTGAGCGCAGAGTATCGCTGCTCCACATTTCATCTACAAAAATATTGCTTATTTTGATGACACTGTGAGTGCAGGACGAAGCCGAGAGCCTGATATTGAACCCAGTGCAGACCTGGGAGAAGGAAAAAAATTTTAGCCGCAAACACCACAAACAAAAGATCTGCCAGAGACTGTGGTGTAGTGTTTGCAAACCCTGCCTGTGGGATAACAAACCGATATGCTTGCAGAGATTACATTTCAATTGCACACACTGTTCCATTTATTACATGCAGTTTTTGCTTTCTTAACCCTCGAACCAAGCCGAGGGCACGGATGAACGGACACCTCTCGTATTTAGGCTGCAATATTTGGAGTTTTGCCTGGAATCATGGCGTGACACGTGATCGTTTTACTGCTTAATAACCTACATGAAGTCGGTAAACAGTGATAAACGCAGATCAACCTTTACTGTAATACGCTGTGCTTTCTTTGTCACAGTGTGATTTGATACCAGGTGCAATAAAGAACATTAGATAAAGCAAAGCTGATATGCAGCAGCAGCACCGGGGGCATGGCTCACTTCCTTAAAAACAAGAAAAAAAAAGCCTCTCTTCCTTTGTGTGCAGTTACAGCAGTTGGAAACCCATTCTAGTTGGAGGCACAGAACAAAAGAGACCCAGATCAGAATTGTAGCCAACATGTATTTGGATGAAAATGCCAAAGAACAGCCTGTTTAACGTGGGGTTTGTTAGTTTTGCCTACAGGTGGTGATCTTCATAGTGGAAAAAGTGCACAGTCATCCATCCTCTGTAAGGATGATGGAAGCGTTCAGCTGGTTTACAGCAGGATTTCCAGCCAAGCTGTTGATAATATCAGGCACAATGACACAATGTAAGGGGAGTGTGTTTTATGTTTTTGGTATTTTGGGGAACAAAGCTCACATCAGAACATGAACCTTTGTTGAGGACGGTCATTATTAATCTGACATAATCGTATAAAAAATATATTTTGGTTGACTTTCTGCTTCTTTGGGGCAGTGGGTTATGATTTTAAGACAAAAGATAGACGTGTAAACTTCACCAAAACGTGCGTAATGCGCGTTCCTTCGACCACATCCCAGCTTATAGGCCAAAAGCGCACACGTGATATCTGTGTTATCGCCGGTACATGACGTTACGCTGTTGTATAACGGGAGATTACGCAGGAAGTCACTGGTTCTCTTGCTATTTATCGCCTCGTTTCTGCATCTTCTCAACATCCCAAACTTTGTGAAGGGCGATGAGAAGATGGAGGCACTCTGGTTTTAGTCGAAACGCGTGCGCTCTTCTACCTTCACATGTGCCTCCCTCTCTGGATGCGGGCTCGCGTCTGACGCAAAACATCGGCGGGCACAGCGTTTTCTCCTCGCTGCCTTCCTGTGAATTTTCGCCTCCTCTCTCTTCCTCCTCCTCCCTCTCCTCCACATCATCGCCATCGCAGTCGCACGAAACGTGACTTCGCAAGTGAATCCTCTCCGACGCCCGCTCGTCTTCGTCTCCGTCGCGCTCGTCTCGGTCGTAGCGGCTGCTGCTGTTGTCATGGCTGTCAACTTTGTGAAACGCCACGGTAACGTCGTCCTCTACGGATAAAACCCGCTCGTGTGTGCAGTGGTTACAGTCGCCCATGGTAAGATGTGGCGGCGGGGCGGCAGCATGCCTCGGAGAGAGTGCCGTGCGCCTTCCCCGGTGTCCTGAGTGACTGAGAAGACAAGGTTAATGACTAATCTTGGTGGCAGGACACAGGCTCCCCATGCGCTGGTTACTTTACCCACAGGGGGGCAGAAGTGAACCCAAACCACCTCTGCTGGATAACTAAAACACTACCCAACGTTTACGCCCATTTCAGAGGCAGCTGCTGGGATGTGAACCAACCAAAAGTCAGCTTGCGCACATTTGGCTCCACAGACATCCTTATAAAACACACATAAAAGTCAGGCTGCGTAATTACAGGAACCATTAAAGCTTGCAGATGCCATAATTTTGACATCATAATCATGATTATACTTACTGGTGCTTTTATCTCAGAGGTAATTACATTTTACGACAGTTTACAGATTCAGCCCAAAGTTGGAGCTCTAATTATGACTTAAATCATAATTTTGAGATTTGTTTTTAGCATTTTTTGCCTGGAATGAGCTTAGTAACTTGTGTTTTTTATATATACTTGTAGATTTTGGATAATTAATGCCTGTTGAAGCCAACAGTGGAGTGCCAATAACAGTCACTACACCTTCAATTGAAGGAGTCAGTGCCACCACTTTGTACTGTTAGAGAAAAAAGAAAATACACTTTCATATGAACTCAAGAGGAAAAGGTTCTGAAGGTAATGAAAATACAACCGAACATCGATGACTGGTTTGAACAATGTGTGAGAAACAAATGAATAATCAAAGGGTGCGTCTCTGATTTAGCGTTTTTAGTGTTTTATTACCACTGTACATAAAATACAATGATCAAGATGACAAAGGAACGGCTAAAAACCTCAGTCCTTACCTAACTACGTTACACAAGTAAGTCCACCCTATTTTGCAGAAGTAGCACGTTACACCGCAATGACGGAGGTGATTCATGTTTTTCCACTTTATCTACACTGAACTACACTAAAAAGGCTAAATCTATGAAAAAGAAAACACCGAGTGTGGTCCCCTTCAACATACAAAAACGTAACATCATAAATTACTTTACACGGTATCGTAAAAACACATTTGGCAAATTGTTTTTGTGTCAGTGAAGTTTGTTAATTGTTATCGATATTCTGTTTCCTTTTGTGTGGGAATAAGGGGGATGGTGTGAAAGCACAGGTAGCGTGTGCCGCCGCACAGTGGTTGGCTTTTAGCTGCGGAGTAAAGACAACAATGGTTTTTGTCAATGAGGGAGAAAAGGGGCAAGAGTGCAGTGAAAGAGAGAGGGCTGGGTGGCACAGTGGGATGCTTCTAGTTAGTCATTCATCGGAAATCAACACCACCGAGTGTCTGTATCATGCGTGCAGTTTTGTTTCACGGAGAGAAAGCAGAGCAGAGAATGTGTGTTTTTTTTAAAGTTTCTCACAGTGTTAAGTGGACTTTTCACTTCATTGTGTGGAATAATTACAAAACCTGACAAAGAATGGACATAATTCCCAGTAAAGAGTCAAATTTTTTTTACCCGAATTTGGTTGAAAACTAGTGTTATTACTAAGTTCCTTGTCTTTTATTGACAAATTCCCCCCTAATGTTCCCAACTGTTCTCAAACTGAGCTTCGATGTCAGTGTGAGGAGGATTCTTGTTCATCTGTGAGATTGTCTGTGTTCTACAGAGTATCCACACTCCAAAGATGCCCAGGACTCCCAATCAATCAGCAGCCTTGATGGAACATTGATGTTTTAAACTTGGCTATAGTAAAGAGCAAATGAGCTGAAGCTACAGACAACCCCAGTGTTTAAAAACCGCTTAGCTAATCCATTTCACTCTGGGCTTGATTTCCCTGAAAGAAGACTTTAAAATTACAAAACCCTTTACCGCCTCTCTTTTGTCAAAAAATATTATTGAACGGTCAGCTGCACTATCAGATTCCTAGACTGTTTTTTTTTTACAGGACAAAGTACGGAGCTGAATAGCGGAGGCATGTCTTGTAAGAGTAAAACCTTTGGGGTTCAGTAGTCGACAGAAAGAAGTGACTTCATTGCTTGTTTTTCCTGAAAGAGTTTAGAATTAGGTTTAGATGGAGAGTAAGGCATTCCCAAATAGTAAGGAATCAAGATGAAAATACAAGAAGTTTATCAAAAATGAACTAGCTGCTGCAGGTTTCCAAACTTTAGGAGTTATATAAAATATATTTTCAATCACAGTCCTAGAATTTATATCAGACCTGCCAAAACGAACAAAAAATAAACCAGTGGAGCAACTTCAACCCTTTAATTTCAGCCTAAACTAACCTAAAGGTCCTGATTTTTATTTGAAAAAAACCTCTTCGGATTGTTTGCTTGAAAGTTCCTTTTGTTTCAGCTACGAAGGAAACTGTTAGTGGGTTCAAATGGGACCGACAAGTTCAACAAAGTCACAGGAGAAAGCGTGTGAGTGGTGAAGTGTCCCCAACAGGCGGCCGGTTTAATTACTCAAATCGATCATGAGATGCTCATAGATCTGAGTTTTTCCCTTGAAGCTGGACGCCAGCAGGAACACCCGGTCGTCAATGGCAACCAGGGAAAATGATCGCGGCGCCTGGATATTCAGCTCCTGAGATGGGACAAACTGGCCCCTCTTGGTGTCCCATTGGTAGACCTGTGTCAGTGAATAATCGCTGCCCAAGATGGCGTACTGCCAGTTGCCGATGGAGACGGGCTGGAACACCATGGAGCCGCGGGAAGGAAACGTCTGGACCTCCTTGAACATGGCACCGTCCCAGCGCATCACCTTGGAGTCCCCGATGAATCTTGTCAAGCATATAAACAGGTCACCTTTGAAAAGGACAAAGGTTCAAGGGACTGTTTAGTTTACACATTCAAGCTACTAAATCTGGATCCGAAATAGCAGAGCTCACAAAAACAGTTTACGTAATTCCAAAATAATTCACCGCCTGTTATCAATAGCTTTTCAGTGAGGAGCCGCTAATAGGTGAGGGTGCTCCTCAGGAGGATATAATACAGATAACATTACACAGAGGTGATTTATGGGCAGGTTTTATGGCAGGGACTTTGGTTTTTACCACCTTCTAAATGAAAGCCTGTGACACGCCGAGCAGGAAGGGAGCGGAGTGTAATGAATTACAGCGCCGAGTGTGAGTCATGAATGCTTTATTAAATTAAGCACATGAAAGAAAATGTTGACCCTGGATTAATGCCCCCCATTAAGCACATGACACACCCCAGACTAAATGAATTTCAGCATTGAAAACTGAGTAATGGCATCCAGAGTACTGGGAGGACGAATGTGAGGTTAAAATTCACTCGTGCAAAAATAAACCCTGCGCGTGTTCATACGCTGCTATTTAAGCGGCGCCTCTCACCTTTGACCCGAAAGTGTTTTACGGAGAAGACGTCCTCCATCTCCGGTATGTCGGTCCTGCGGTCGAACTGCTTCTGGCTCCTGTTCCACTGGTACACGACGGGCCTCTGAGAGCTGCTGGACAAGATCAGGTGGGGTTTGTTGGCGATCTCCAGATACTCTACGTCTGTGTCCCGGTACCACGGGTGCAGGGACTGGTGGGAGTAGAAGCCATTGCCGTTCCATTTGTACACTGTTGTGGAACCAGCCTGTGAGAAGAACGCGGTCGAAACGTCAGCTCAGGACAACTTAATTCTAAACATGTTTCTGGGTTTGGATTAAGGGCTCAGCAGTGATTTACAGACGCGGAAAACAATTAAACACACCGAGATTAAACGGCAAAATGCAAATTTTAGATAATGGAGCCAAACACGAGCGTGTGCGTTCGTGTGTGCACGCCTGAGTGTCCCCAAGCATATGTGTGAGCATATGCGAACATTTGGTAATACAAGGCTAATCAGCAGGAGCAGACACGAGCCGACGTGCGGCGGAGAAGGACACCGGGGGAAGGACCGGCTGACACGGTGGGCGGCTATCTGCCATGAAATGTTCCTGTTTATTCTGCTCACAGACTCGAGCACTTTTGAATGCAGGAGAAAGAAAAGAAACAGGCAGACCTTGGAGCTGTCGGCGATGACAAAGAAAGACTCCCCGTCGATCATGAAGGTCTCGATGTCGTTGGGTTTGCGGATCTTCAGGATGTCGATGTCCTGGATCTTGATGAACTTGTTGGCCGAGGTGTCACGTTTGTAAATGTGCGAGCCTCCAAACAACTGGGCCACGATGACAAAGAGGTGGTTGTCAATGACCATGGGCTTGCAGACGACCGTGGAAGTGCCTACACAGTAAAATAGAGCACAAAAAAGATGATTAATACTAGACAGACAGTTGTTATTATTATAAGAAGTAGATGGTTTTCTTGCATTTGTTTTGTATCTCTTAAACAGTGTGTCACCACAATGGGTGCAAGAAATGTGCAGTTCCTTCATTAAAGCAGAAGCGTTGCTACATCCATGTGAAAATACTCAATTACAAAGTCTTGTATTGTGAAAAGGCCTCTGTGACTGATAAATCATTCATTACTATATCCTTATATACATAAGTTATTTTGGAGTATGTTTAGTTGGCGCCAACTACAGTATCTACACTCGTGCGGGGGACTGGAGTCTATCCCAGCCGACTCAGGGTGAAGGCAGGGGACACCCTGGACAGTCTATCACAGGGCCACACTTAGAGACAGGACAATTTAGAATCACCAATTAACCTCAACATGTTTTTGGACCTTGTGGGAGGAAGCCAGAGAACCTGAAGAGAACCCACGCTGCACGGGGAGAACATGCAAACTCCACGCAGAAAGATAGTGGGTGTCCTCACCGGGATGGGAACCAGCGACCTTCTTGCTGCGAGGTGGCTCGGTACTAACCACCGACCCACCTTGCAGCCCCCATTTCACATCAGTTTACATAAAATAACATAAATTTTGTGTACATTTTTATACACTTTTTTGATTTTTGATTCAATTTTGCTTTTTTTCTGTTATAAATGTACACGCTAAGCCTAAATACAGGCTTTACTTAAATTATAGATAATATGTAGTAGAAAAAAATAGATGTTGACTGTAAAAAAAACAAACAGAAAAAGACTTAGACTGTAGTAATTTGTTCTTCTACAATGTGTGATCACAAAATTACACTGAAAAAATCTGATTAATTTACGAATATTTGCCAATATTTTCATAAATTTTATAGTTTTTTAATGTTCCAGTATTCCATCATTTATAAGGTATTTTTTCTTGCATCTTTACTGCCAGATTTTCACAATTTTCTTTTCTTTTTTTTCTTTTACAGTGTCGGGCAGCACTTCAGTAAATACACCTGTTTACTTTCCACCATAGTTAAACAGATTTACACAATACAGCATGTGTGCTCCTCATCCACTCCCACATTATTAGTTACACATTGTCATGTGAGGTGGAACCTTCCACACAGGATTCCTCCTTAACACTGACTCACTTTCGATGGTGTCATACATTCTGAAGGTCATCTCGACGTGATCCCATTCCAGGAAGCTGCACGTCCCGGCAAAGGGCTGAGCAAACACAACGTATTGGTCTTCACCGAAGGTGAAGGCCTCCACAGAAATGGACTCAAACTTCAGTGACTGGTAGGAGGCAAACTCTGGAAAGTATGACATAACAATTAACCTTTTACCGTCCGAGAAGTCCACTCACTGGGAATGGAAGGGTGACGCAGATAGAACTGCTGCTTGTATGAGAAGAGGGAGCGACACTAGAAGCTGTTACCTGCCGTCATGCAGTCAAAAGAGTGCGGCAGCAGGTCATTGATCTTCTTCCCCTGCTGGAGTGGCGGCCCGCTGCAGTAGATCTGGTCCAGGGTGGCGTTGGTGTGATGCATCCACTCCACCAACCACTTGAGCTTACAGTCACAAATCAGGTTGTTGCCTCGCAGGTCGCTGCACGCACGAATGTATGCTCATGTAAAGACATATCATCTGTAGTATTTACACTTGAAACGTGCACAGATTCGGTTACTTCCAGTCACTGCTCTGTCCTCCTGTTTGACACCGGCTTCACTTTGTGCTCCCCGCTAACAAAGCCACAACAAGTGTCCTATCTCCGGAGTAGTCTCTGCTCATCACACACTCTCAGTCTGAATAGCTATTAACTTTTGATGAGTGTATTGAATTCACAGACACAGGCATTATTCGGGGTTGATTGTGTCCAAAGCCAGGATCCAGTTCTTTTCTCTGCAATTGACTTGTTTACCATTTATCCCGACATCCTGGCATCCAAACCCAGCCTCTCCTGCTCTCCTCTTTAGATTTCTATCTTCTTTTCATTTTCTCCTTCACAGCAGTAAATGGCTTCTTCTACCATCTTTATATTTCTCGGGGCTGTTCTGCTCATTTTCTCCTCCTCTTTTCGGACTTTTTCATCCTTTTATCTGGTGCGGAAATTTCTCTGTTCTGCACTGTGACCCCATAATATCGCTGCGTTTAATCCCGCAGTTGAAGAAGAAGAAGAGGGAGCAGGACCAAGGAAGATTTTGCTCATTTCACATTTTGTGCCTGTCTAGACTACCCTTCCCCCTCAAATTGCTTTGTACCCTCCAAAATATCACACTTGTGTTCTATTGTTCCACTGTCCTAATTTCAGAAAAAAATGCAAATGAAGCCGATTACTAATTCATGAAAACTTCATCATTACACACATCCAGCCACATGAAAGGATAATAAATGAACTACTTGAGCAGAAAAATAATTCAATCATTCATTAAAAGAGCACTCAAGAGTATGAAAATATCATGGCATAATTACATAAATATACAGTACATGTATGGATGTAGGGGTGAATAACTGTGTTTGAAATACAGACTCACACTTTAGTCAATGCGTCCATGCCCTTGAACACATCTTTAGGCAGCGTCTCAAGGTTGTTGTAAGCCAGACTCCTAATCAACAAAGAGGGGGGAAAAAAAAAAGTACGTCCCATGATTGAATTAGAAGTAGATTCTCCAGACAGTAGACAGAGCCATTTCCCTGTTATGTGCCTTTTTTGATTGGCGGCCAGACTCACTTGAGAAAGATTAGAATAAACCCACAAAATTACCCGATACAAGCAGTGCACATCAGGACACCTGAATGGTCCCCAAATAACAGATGGGAAATTCTATTCAGCAGAACAGAACATTAATAATTCATTTTCCTAATATTGGTTTAAACTTGCTTTATGTCTTGAACCGACCTAAACAGTGCCACCCTCCCCTCCTCCTTTTCCAGCTCTGTGGAGCGGACGGCGTCTTTGCCAGCCAATTAGGGCTAACTGACACAAGCGGACCCTACAGAGACATTTCATTTGTGAGCGAGGGGGCTCAACTCCAAAACAGAAAGAGAGATGTGAATGAAATGAAATGTCAGCGTAATTCACGGAGGCTGCATTATTTATTCGAGAAGTCGGTCCTCCAGGGGAAGAGAGAACGTTTTACTTTGAGTTTGTGCGAGAATGCACTCTCCAAACAGATTGGGTTAGAGCAGAGTGGTCAGGACTCCAACAGGAACGTGTCGCCTGTTCCCATTAATTATGTATTCATTGTGCGCGATGCATTTAAAACACCCCATAATATCACATTTATTTTCTCTTTTTTGGGGGATAAAAGTTTCTTTACCTTTTCTCTAAACTGAGAACAAGAAGTGAGCACACCCATTATTATCATTGTCTGTGAACAAAGTTGCAGCTCTGCAATGATTTAACCAAAACTCCTCACATCTCATGTCAAAACTTGCTTGTTAATTGTGTCGCCGGTGACATTTTCTGTCACCTTGCATGTCTTGATTGCTTCATTCTCATACAATTCCCTCAACTCAGATGCATTTATAATTATTAACCAGCTCCTCATCAGATTTACATTACAGCATCACAAGTTTTATGAAGCCAGCCACTGAAGTTTTATGCTGAAGTTAACTTTGGTCTGCTATTTTTAAAGACCACCAGCAGATTACACGCCGTCCTCTGGGGACTCAGACTTTGTTGTGAGGAGGTTCATTGTCAGTGGGTTTTAATGAATATATCGTTAATGTTTCCCCCTGTTCTGTTCTATGCTGTTTGGACTTTGTTCAGTAAAATGTGGATTTCTTACATCTAACTGGACATCAAGAAGGTCTGTACTGTATTACATATCATGTGGGACCAGATGGAGACATATAAATAAGTACATCACCATTCAGGGCATTTGGATTGTGGGTTTCTTAATTGGCATGTAGAAACAGATAACACATAATCAGATGGTTAAGAGAAATCATAATGTGGAAAATGTATCGAGAATTAACAGGTGAACTGTCAAAGGAAGCTTGGATAAGATTGTTTTCTTTATAAGCTCCACATGTGTCACTCAGTCAGCTTGTTTGAGATCACAAGACGGAAACTAGAGCTTAAGAGATTTGATGTGAACCTGACATGTAGTTCTGGCATGAAGAGAGAGTCAGGTGGAAATCACACAGTGATGCACTTTGGGCAGTGCAAAGTTGATGCACTGTATGGTTTAATCAGTTACTCTCCAGAGCAACTTGTTTTTTATGTATTCCCTCCTTAGTGTAAATTAAGCAGACAAGTCGACCACAGATGACTGACTTTGCTCAATTTCTCCTCACATGCATCAGAATAGTTCAGCGAACGTGATATTCCGGAAAGTGTGCATTCAACACGAGCTAAAATGCGCTCAGGAGCTGAGTCCCCATTAATTGTTAAAATGAAAACAACAGTTAGCGCTCCTGAATAAATAAAAGCATCCTGAACACTCCATGGAAATGTCTTTTTTACCCGTTTACGTAAGAGAACGCTTCTTCTTCCACTGATCTTCTGATCCGTCATCTAAAACGAACAGCGCCGCTATTATTTGCAGCATTTCCAATCAGTACTTCTTTATCTAAAGTTTACTTTCTCTCACTTCAATCATGTCTGAGTAAATGTTGACAAACTGTCAAGCCTTTCAGATTTGATTTCCTTCCACCACACTGCAGCGATTTGTTAATACAAAGACATGACGGAGCAAATTGGAGCCACTCCTGCATCTGTTTACGCGTGATGAGGAAGCATGCAAATATTTGTGTGCACCGGGCTGCATAAATGTGCAAAGGACAGCCTGTCACAGAGTCACACTGTAGGTCAGTCGGTTTAAGGTTACAGAACAGTTATGTTTAGACTTGACCTCCGGGTCACTCACGTTCTCAGCTATCTTTAGCTCTGGCGGCTTCGCAGTTCATCAAAGGGAAACGCTGATTACAAAACCACGGTTTAGAAATCATTGTTTGACGGTATCTCGTGTTGGGATTCTGTCAACATCATTCCTGTTTACTGGGGACTCTATTGTAAGCACCCTCACATCAGTCTCTAACAGGTAGAAGTGGTGACAGTCACTCTGCTGGTCACATTAGGTTGATTTTGCTCTAAAGCATACTTTAAGCATCAGTTTGCAATTTTGAAACGTAAAGCCGGAGTTTCACTGTGTACTCTGCTGCTCCACTAATACAATGAAACATCCAGATCTGCCCTTCTGCAACCGGATCCAGCCGACACCTTCGGTCACCTTGGGGAAATGACCACTTCTGCCTACCTTTGCATTCTAGACAGTGACAAAGTGATACACTGACAGAAAGGGGAAATTGAGGCACAGCGTATGTGAGAATATCTTGAATACTAATATCCTATTACCTTTTTCTGACAATGCTGCCTCAACAGAGGATGTGTGTGAACGCGGCTATGCAGACTGTTAATGTCAAAGAAGAAAAGTCATAAATCACAAGTGGGAAGAAGGAATAAGACACAGGGAAGTTCTGTTGGACAGGAGTGAGGGAGAAGATAAGGGAAGAAGAAGAAAAAAAACAAACTTTTCATCATCACCACTGCAAAAACTAATTACTTACAGATGTATCAGTGTTTTCAGGCCTCGGAAAGCATATGGGGATATTGATGCGATTTTGTTGTTTTCAATAAATCTGTGGATGACAAATATTTCATTAGCATTTAGAGAGATTAAACTACATCAACGCGATGAGAGTAAGCAAACATGGCTGTCGTGTCGTTTGTTGTGACCCTGTGAGATGAAATCCAGAACTTTCTGCATCCTTTCACTTTGTGGCTGTGATACATCATGAGTGTGGAAAACGCTGCCCTGATTGCATATTATACTGTTTACAATACGCTTAAAATGTCAAAATAAACTGAAGGCGCTGCACATCCAAACAGGCGTTTTTAATTATTCTTGATAGTTCAGGTTAAGTTGACTGCAGTCAGGCTGGGAGTTAAATAAAAGCAGCAAACTCTACAAATCATCAGGGTGCACAGTAAGTTGTAAAGCTCTAACTAGGCAACATGAGTGAGACCATCTTTGTGGGTGAAGCATCACTGTGTACTTTAAACTGACTTGAGTTTGGTATAAAGACACTGCTGTCCCACAATGCAATGCTCAAGCAGCATTAAAATATAAATTCATAAATTATTCTGGAAGCTGGTTGTAGCGACATTTTTAGATTTGGAACTAAAAGCATGTTTAATTGATATTTGCTGCTATATACATTACATACAAACAAATAGGACACAGTGTGTTTTATGACACTTCATCATACAGACAACTTCAAATAAATACTTACAGGTACTCAAGATGTGTCAAACCCAGAAATGCATCTTCATCAATTAGGTCAAATGAGTTTGCTGTGAACAATCTGTGAAGAAAAACACAAACAAAGCTTAAATTACTATATTTAATCATATTAAATGACAGCTACAGTGCACTTCTAGATTCTGTTAGAGTTCCCTAAAAACGTCTAAACCACGCCTGTTCCTCCCAGCTTGTGTTTCATAACTGAACTGAGTTGAACCTGAATTCAAAAATTCACATTAAAAATGTATTTGTGTGCGCTGTTCCTTCCTACAACCCAATCTGGTCGCGCACATTTAATATCTGTTTATTCTTTTTGAGATAAATGTGTGATTGCCAATTCTTTACACCAGTAATTCTGAATTTAAAAAAAAAAGAGAAGCAGGAAAAAAAAAAAAGAGAGAGACAGGGTGTGAGACTGTGTTACTGTAACAGACAAGAGACTCTTTGAGCGTTTCCCTCCCACAGTATGTGGTTAAAGAATGGACCAAATGAATAAAACAGAGGCATGAGTGCTCACTCCAGCATATTTTTCATGAAATGAACAAAAGAGAGAAAAGGTTGCCTCCTCCCACGTGTTTGTGAGTCACCGGTTTAGACCACTAAACTTAAGAGTCGCGTCCAACAGCATCATATTGGGCACCTCATTTCACATCAAATCTGATTATGAAGGTTTTTCATGCAATTTAAAACCAGTGGAAACAACTTTTACAGAAAAAAAATGCCTCAATACTCTACTTCATGCTATAAATCTAACATTTTAAACATGAAACAGCCTTCAAAAATAAGCCTTTATTTCTAATTATTGATGTTTTTGGAAATCGAATTGTGAAATCCTGTCTCACTGTAGGTTAAAGGATGCTCAGGAAAACAGTCAGTGACCTTTTACACCCAGAAACTGCTAAAATTGGCCCCAAGAGAAGCTCCCCCACTGCTCAGGCAGCGCTTTGATAAAAGGTTAAGATAGGCCAAATCACCTTGGCAGTAAATAATAACAGATGGAGCAGAACCTCTCAATCACTTTCCTCCTTCTGGTCACGAGCTCTGATGCACGATGCCGCCACCACCACCTCCTCCTCCTCCTCCTGCAGAGCTCAGACTGATTCAGTGTCATCTGAGCATATAACGGAGCGGATGCCAAGACCAGATATTTAGCTGAATTAAAACGATGCTCGGTGACAGCCTGCTATTATTTCCAGCGTGATTAGAGCACAGTTAAGCCTGCCCTTGCAGTCAATTAGTGCATCTGCAAATTGCTCAATAGACTCAATCAAGACGCACAATACTGTCAGATGTGACACTAAGTGAAAGCATTGTTGAGATAAACTCCACGGTGACGTGTGTGGCCTTTAGTTGGCTGCTGAGCTCTTGTCTATTGCTTCTATCTCTCCCGCTCTATCTCACACAGAGCTCCTCTCTCCCCGGCCCCTGCTGTTAGTTGCTGTAGCCATGTGGTGTATTGCATAATCCTGACACCATTACAGAGAATCCCCCCCCCCATCCCCATCCCCATCCCCTTTAAATCTGCATATCAGCCTCTATGCAAGACCTCTGGGGAGACACAGCCTCATTGTTTGAGCACAGATAGATATACAGATAGATAGATATATAGACAGATTGATTGATTTTACTCACAGCAGTTGCAGGGCAGGTGTATGAACAAAGCTCCCCCCAGTGATCTCATTGAATCCAGACTTGACAAAAGATCTGAATAAATTGAGAATATGTGCAATTAAAAGAAAATCCGTTAAAGATTTCATTAAATAAATGAGACAGTGAAAGAGTGCCAAGAGCAGTTTTCTGACAGTTTGGGTTTGGATGTGGCACAATGGAATTAAAAAAAAAAAGAATCAGCACTTACAGAGAAACGACGTCCGATGGGAAAGTGTGAGGCACGGATCGGACATTCTCACACAGGGCATTGTCTTTGGTGCAGGTGCATCCAACGGGGCATCTGGGCTGCCTCACTCTCCGTCCGTCCGCCACCAGCAGGCTGACAGCAGCGACCCAGACCAGGAGCGTCCATCCTCCTCTCCATCCTCCTCTCACGGCTCTGCCCGGGTATCCCATTCCTTCTGTCCCGGTCGGGTACTATCACTCCTGCACATGCAACTTCTGAAGCAAAAAAATCCGGGGAGGTGTAGTGGAGATCACAGGGGAAATCTCACTGTTTTTTCTTTTTCTTTCTTTTTTTTGTATTTGTGCGTAAATCGGTGTTTCCTTCTTGTTTGTTGTAGCTGCAGGCGCTCCGATGCAGCCTGGTGTCTATGCTTCTTGCGTCTCAATAGGAAAGGCACCAGTCCAGCGGATTTGTTCTGCAAGGCGCAGGATTACAAATGCGGGACAGACGGGACATGAGAGCAGGAAACATCTCCGATTTTTTTTTTTTTTTTTGGTCATGCAAAAGTTATCCACCAAAAAAAAAAAAAAAAAAAAAGTCCGCCAAACAGAGAAGTGTTTCTATCTGCTTCCAAAGTCTTGCAGACTAAATGCTGTAGCCATGAGAGATAGAAAAAAATCCCGTCAGAGAGAAAGGAAGAAAGAAAAAGAGAGATGGAGGAGAGGGGAGAGAGGGGGAGAGGCCCCAAGGTGCGCTTTTTTATCAGCGCTGCCAGCTATTATTTATGCGCACTTCAGAGCCGTGCATGGCTAATGGGAAGCTGCTATTCATGAGGCTCTGAGCAAATGCACCTGCCCCACTCATTCACAGCTAGGCTGCCTCTTTTCTTTCCCAGCTTTGGCACAATGATGACTGTGAAAATAAGATAACACTGTAAGAAAAGATGCATCCTGTTCACCTAATAAAATTACAAGCAATACTGCTAATTTAGTGTAAGTATGTTTGAGTAAATATAAACATTCAATGAAGCCCTTTAAAGTTATACATTTAACAAAAGAACAAAAAGAAATTAACACAATAGTAGCTACTAATAAATAGTTTTAATAATTCTAAACACTGCAGTCATTTGAGTTCATTCTGTGTACACTGTAAAAAAAAAAATAAAAATGGCACCACGAGTTTCAGAAATAACACGGTGGTATTTTGAAATGTTCAAAAACTAGAAGTAGTGGCAAATATCTGTAGAATAATGACATTTTTAGCTAGTTTAACCTCTTAAGACCCGAGCTCTTGTTTGATATGCATTTTTAAGAATTTCTCTTTGCTATTAGATCTGATTAAATAGCAAAGAGAAAAAAAATAAAATATATATATATATTTTTAAAAATATATTAAAAATATAAAAAAATACAATAAAAATAAATAATATAAATAACAAAAAAATCTAATAAAACAAAACAAAAACATTCCAAATGTAAATGATACACATTTCATATATACTTTCTTTCAAATATATCACACATCTGTTAAATAATAATATCCATGTTGATTTCAATACAGTAAAAAACACTGGAATCTTATGGTCACATTGTGAAAGAATAATTTAACATTTGGAAAAACACAGATTTTTAATATAAACTTTATTTACATTTTTTTTAGAGGCAACATGTAGAAATATTCTTCCTGCAATTTTACTAGTTATTATCTGTAATTTACCAAAACTGAAAAAATCTGTAAAATACCAGTAA